CAGACTATTATATATCTAAGAAAGCAGAATATATCATATTTTGATTTAAAACTGCTTTTATCAATATTTTTTACATTAATGTCTCAAAGGACTACGTTTAATATTGTCACCCATGAACCCAGAGACAGAATTATCACCAACTCTGCAGGATTAGTATTTTCACTCTTTTCTCTCCACTCCATCTTTTATTTAATTTCATTTACTTTAGAATTTCCTGTCTTACTAATTCCACCTAAGTCTTTTATTCATTATATGTTTTTTCTGCTCACAGTCCATGAAAACACACACACACACACACACACACACACACACCCTTCCTCTTCAGCATGCATGTAAAACCCAGCAGGGCGGTGACTACGGGTATGATGGTGATGTGGTAATCGCACAAAAAAACATGTATGTTGTCCCACTTCCTTTTTCCACCAGAGTATGTTCTCTCATCACTCGTCTTTCTAAACTATTTCTAAGCTAAATGAGTGTCCATGAATATAATAGACCAGCGGTTGCCAACCTCTTTTCCTTGAAGCGTATTAAATGAGTCTCTTTTTGTTAAATCAACTTCCTTTAATGAATATAACTCGTCAGTTTCCTCAACATAAAAAAGGCGATAACGTCTTGACTGATTTTGCTTTTGGATTTTACAACGCTCAGAAACAAATGTAATCCTACACATGGTATAATGCAAACAATAACAGTATTGCCTGATCTCCATTTGCAACTGTGCAGAGAAACTAAGTTTGAACTAAATGTTTTGAGTTTAGAGTGAGGACAAAAAAAAAAAATAGTTGATATGGAGACTTTTGTATGATTTAGGTTTATTATGTGTATTATTATGATTTTAGCTATTCATGTGCAAATCTAATTTTGACAAACTCAGACAAATCCTGGAGCACCCCCTTTGATCTTTGGGGGGCAGAGACCCCAGGTTGGGGACCACTGTACTCGACAGTACAATAACAAAGCCGATATTTAAGAAAGATTCAAAAGCCTGTCGAGTGTGACACTCACCACTGGGGGGTTTGGGCCTCGGGGGAACACTTTTCTTCGGTGGCAGAGCTGGCGTGTCATTCTTCCTGCTGAATGGGTCGTCCACAAACGCCGGCTGGAAAGAACGAGTGAAAGGAAGAACATGTGGTTGATTAGCTGCACTTTCAATATACTAGAATCTGACAGTCCGTGACACAACTGGAGAAATGGTGGCATCAGGAAACACTTCAACTTATCAGTTTGTGCCAATTGTGCCAATACGGCATTTTACGGTACATATCTGCACCAAAAAAGTGATTTCAGGATGAGTGCTGGCCTCTGGTACCTTCTGGTAGTCTGGCAGCCAGCTGGCCCGGCCTTCAAAAGGGTCTCGAGGATTCGACATGAGGCTGAAGTCTGCAAATCCTGCAGAGCTGTTGCTGCTGCTGTTGAACGAACTGCTGCCGAACGGGTCCAGCGTGCCAAACAGGTCTGAAAAAAGTAACAATGAATTCACATCAACAAGCTCTTTTACACGCAGTGAACACAGTTAGTAGCTACCTTAAAATGTTCAGTGTTGTTGAGACCACTTTTCTTCTACTTCGGCACGTTTGATACCGAAGCTGACTAACACACACAGAGGAGCAACAGTACGGCATACACCTCACAGATGCAATGCAATCCAATGCAACACCAACGCAAACTACAGCAAAGATGACCAAAAGGTAACTAACTGTCATGGTGTCAGCTACAATTCAATATCTAATTTGCACTTTTACTGTATTTAAAAAAAAAAAAGATGCAGTTTTTGTTTTTAAAATTCAGCCAGGTTAATGTTCCCAGTGCATTTCAGCAGGCGAGAGTTCCATAAAAATGAAGGAAAGGGTCGGGTAGTCAATCCTTCCTGTGGTATCAAAGACTCTCAGGACTAGTTCTAGATGACCAGCTTGGTGCTGATTTAAATTCACACATTATTATTCATAAAAACAAAAAACGGGGTTTAGAAAAGCATGTTCCATAAAACCGGCCTTGTTTACCTCACTGATAGAATGAGGTTCAGTAGCTTATAAACAGATACTGTACAGTTCTACTTGACACTCAAAAGACATTTGTTATAGTAAGTCAGTACAGTAAATAGTACATTTAGGGGGGTCTAGTGGACGTTTGTGCCCTCCAGGCACTTCACGTGGATTGGATGGACGTGAAGTCAGAGTGACCTTTGACCACCAAAATCTAATCAATTCATCCTCGAGTCCAAGTGGACGTTCGTGCCACAGTTGAAGAAATCCCCCCCAGGCCTTCCTGAGATATTGCATTCACGAGAATGGACGAGGCAGACGGATGGACGTGGACTGACAACCCAAACAAATAATGCCTCGGGCCACGGCATAAAGAACTGTTTTTTGCCAAACTTATGGTGTGGCTCCAGAGATGGTGATTTCGGTTAGTCGGGTCACAACTTTGGTCCAGACTGAAATCTCTCAACAACGACTAAATGATATGAACATTTTGTACAGACATTAATGGTTCCCTTTCAATGAAGCCTACCTACTTTGGGGACCCCCTGACTTTTCCTCCAATGACGAACAATGGTTGAGATTTGTGTCCATTAATTAAATGTCTCGACAATTATTGGATGGATCGCCATCAAATTTGGTACACCTCAGGAATTAGCGATATTAATGAGCAAATGTTGGCATGGTAACACACTAAACTAAGATGGTGAACATAGCGTGTAAACCTCAGCGTGTTAACATTGACATACTGAGCATTCTAGCATCTGAAGCTAGCATTTAGCTCTTACTTTAGCATTTCAAAGAATGTTTCTAATCATTAGTTTCAAGAAAATGTTGCATATGGCAGAATCAAGAATTGACCATGGATCCCATTTGCTATAATGGTGTTTCTAAGCAGCAACAGGTCTGCTTACAGATTGTACAAAATAAGATGCTACGTTACGGTTTTGATTTTAATAAGAGCCCATTCAAATACAAAACATTTAGATATTTTGGTCAGAAATGCCAGACCTAACCGGAGCCAGTGTGGGTGCTGTGTAGCTGTATTTGAAGTAGTATGGACGATCAGAGTCAGGAAGTGAGTAAGCAAACGTGACACCTTCCCTCTCCAGACACTGTTTTAATAGGCCAACCAACATGGTAACCTCAGGCTGAGCAAACAGTGGCCCCGCTATGGTGACAGGCTCCAGTTACCTCCAATCACTGAGGCATTCAAGCCGACCCACAATGTGTACGTGTTTGTACGGACAGCACCGATATCTTGGAGGAAATGAAAGAGCTTTTCTCCTGCTGAGGGGAACAAACAGCTGACTGAAGAGCTCTGCTGCACTGACTGACGTCATATATTCACTCGTTTAAGGGTTATGCCACCACAAACCCAACTAAACTACCGCCAGAGACGCAATGAAAGGTGTCACAGAACTGACTCCTAGCTAACCTCAAACTAGGGTTGGGAAAAGTGTCTAGTTTTCTAAACTGTTGTACCAAGATTTACCACGGTCACTATCGCTTTAATATCTATGCTTGAATTAAGCCATTGTAGGAAATGCTGTAAATCAATGAGAAAAACTTTTACGGCAATATTGGATATTGGCGAGCACAAAGAATGACTGATTCCATTCATTTCTTTTCAAAGAAAACACATGATGTCCAAAGCCACATGTGAGGGAACACAGAAATAAACCATACCTGGTCCTTTGGGTTTTGGGTTGCTTGAAGAGAATGGGTCATTGCTTGTGAAGTGACTGGTTTGCTGCTGGAAGCATAAGAAGATTTAATTAATTTAACTATAAATTCATATGTTATGTCTTGAGTGTTTTTTATTACCATCTATGTAAAATCTGAATTCACCCACATTTTGATTTTATACAGTTTTTAGTGAAATGCAGAATAGGCAATACCAGAATTCTCAAGAAATTCTTACAGCACTTATCAATCCAAAGGAAAGGCTGAACTTGTTAGTGATTCAAATAAGCCAACAATAGGCAGTCATCTTAAAATCTGTGGGGATTTTATATTATTCTATAAATTAAAATTCCATGTTCTGGTCTTCGATCTTGAACAAGTACCTTGGAAGGTAATGTGGCACTTTTACTGAAGGGGTCCGGTATGGAGAAGGGATCCATCTTTGTGGTCTTCTTGAAGAAATCTTCCGACGAAGCCTTGAACGGATCCGTCTCTTTAAACGGGTCTCCTCCAAAAGGATCTGCAGCGGTGAGTGATGGACAACTTCAGCTATTGAAGATTCTCCCTGTAGTGTTTCTTAAACTTTTGTATAAACTAGAGAACAGGACCAACATTGCTCAGGAATTTCAAAAGACAGGTTACTTTTTCAAACGCTTTGTGACAGTGTGAGCCACGACAAATACTACATTGAGCGCTTGACACGGCTTGGATTTCAACTTTGTCTGTGCAATTTTAATGTGCAACCAATGAGGGATCAGCCGTTTGTGACATAATGTAAATTTTGTATACACTCTGCACTAACTCTGGGCCCAACCTTGTGATGGGCTCAGCTAACCCTGCTGATCATATGTATTGTTTTTCAAAGTCTGGAGTTTACCTCCACCAAAGGATTGTGGGAGATTTGATCAAATGGGCCAATTAGAAGTCACCAATTAAAAACTCTTAAGCAGCACTTAAAAACTTGAATAACCTAAAAAAATAACGATTTCTTTTGTTACGGTAAAATAAAAAATAATTATCATGACGTGTAAAACTTGTTTATCTGCTGATGTTATGGATCTGTTTTGGAATGCACTTCTTTTGACAATAAAATTAAGAATCTTTTTTTTACCTTGAGTGGCCAGAGTAAAACAATTAGGAAAAAAATGTGTCACGTGAAACAAGTTAAAAAACAGTTCTCTAGAGACATCAGTATCATGTTACATTATTTGTCATTACAGTTAACGAACAGGAGGTAATTCTCCTGGAAAGTCTTGGTGATAAAGGAAATAGTGGAATCTCTGTCTAAAAATGAACTAAAACAGCTTAAGCGGTTCAGTTAATCAGTTGTCTGCACACCTCCCTTCAACATCTGGTCTTAAAATATTTGACCGTCTATGTTTTGCAGTATTGCAATCACAACAAAATGAACAGCTTCCATGGAATCTAATAGACGGTTATGATAAGAGGCACCCTGTAAGTCATGCACCCGGGGGAGAGTACGCTGCGTTCACACTAAATCAGGCGTAGCAGAGAAAATGCCAGTCCTCCAATTCATTTGAATGTGGGTGGCGCGTTTGGGCTGCGTGGGGGGAGGGGTGCAGTAAGAATATGGACCAAACGGGCAATAACAGGCTGTACACTGTGGAGCAGTTTCACTGGTGTGAAAAATGGTGATTTCTATCGCTGATCTCCATCTACCAAGCAGAGAAGTGAAACTCCACAATATCGCTGAAGGGGGAAGTGTGACAGAAGTCACGGTTGAACGCGCTGCCGTTTCACATATGTGGAGGGACGCCGGTTAAAGACACGGCTGGCTGCCCCCCCCCCTCTCCGGCCCAGCCCGCCCTCCCCA